CTTTGATACCAAACTTGTTTAATTTGGATAAGCGGTTTGTTTATAATCCGGAAGAGACTTTTATTTCGGAATTAGACTTTAAAATTTATTACAGTTAAATAAAAACATCAAACCTTGAATATTATTATTGGTTTCTGTTAGGAAACTTTGTAAACATTTATAAGCAACATTTCAGTTCGGCAAAACAAGCAGTCATAGACATTTAAAATTTATACAGTTCATATTTAAATCTCAACCAGCAATAATATGCTAGTCCGGTCAAATTAGACCAAAAATTGGAGTGAAGTTACAAAAATTCCCACCCAACTGAAAATTGGTAGGATTGTTCAAAACACCATCATAAATAAAATCTAGAAAGTCCTCATCGATCCGATACCTAGAAAAAAAGTTACTCGGCGTCAAAGGTCACAAAAATGGCTTTTTCGCGATTTTCAGCAAAACGGTAAGTTTATCATAAAATTAGTTTAGACAAAAATTGTATATCAGATAATTATCTATAAAAAATGTCTAAAAACCCTTTGTCCTAAGAGCTACCGTTTCCGAGATATAACGATTCAAAAAGTTGGAAGAGTTGTAATCGTCATAATATGCACACGTTTCCACGCCACCTTTGTTGTACTTATACATATTATGCCGATTTCAACTCTTCCCACTTTTTGAATCGTTATATACATATATCTCAGAAACGGTAGCTCTTGGGAAAAAAAGTTTTAAGACATTTTTTATAGATAATTATCTGATCTAAAATTTGTATCTAAACTAATTTTATGATAAACTTACCGTTTTGCTGAAAATCACGAAAAACCGTTTTTGTGACCTTTGACCCCGAGTAACTTTTTTTCTAGGTATCGGATCGATGAGGACTTTCTTGATTTCATTTATGACGTTATGTTGCTGAAAATCGCGAAAACCCCGTTTTTGTGACCTTTGACCCCGAGTAACTTTTTTTCTAGGTATCGGATCGATGAGGACTTTCTTGATTTCATTTATGACGTTATGTTGCTGAAAATCGCGAAAACCCCGTTTTTGTGACCTTTGACCCCGAGTAACTTGTTTTCCAGGTATCGGATCGATGAGGACTTTTTAGATTTCATTTATGATGGTGTTTTGAACAATCCTACCAATTTTCAGATGGGTTTGTAACCTCGAATATCTAAATTGACCGGACTATGCCATCAAAAAAGTTTTAGCCACCACCCAATTTGATTCAGGTCGGAAAGGGATACAGGAAATTTCCTCGAAGCATGCAATAAATACATACTTAGTACATACATATAATCATAATTAAGAATACCACTTCTTTACAAGTTTTGACAATTTATATATTCGTTAATTTTTTAATTTATTTTACTTTCTTTACAAAAATATAGTTTATACCACAACAAAAACCAAGTAACTCAAAGTTTCAAACTTTTTAATCAGGACTTCTAGAAAAAACTCTTATAACACATTAAATTTTTGTATAACATTATGCAAGTTAATAACCCGTGCTGATTTTTGAGATTTTTTTGTTGACGGGGTTGCTCATATTCTCCCATAAAAAAAATTTTACATACATACATACATACCTATGTAATATGTACTTCGGTGAAAGAAAAGGCGTAACACTGGCAGCAAAAAAAAAATCCCAAAACCTACGCGAATTCCTAGTCGTTGGAACTTGCACAGTATTATACTATAAAACTGCATACCCAAAATCCTGCTAGAAATTCTGATTAAAAAAATTTAAATTTGGTGACCACTTTTCGAAATTTCGAGAATTTTTATAAATCTTGTACAAGATGTGAAACTTTGAGTTGCATGCTTTTCGGTGTAGTATAAACTATATTTTTGTTAAGAATAAATTGAAAATAAAGAAAAAATAAATGGTCCAAACTTAAAAAAAGTAGTGTCTCTAGTTACGTGGCCATCACTGTATATGCATACATACGAGTTGGTGATAAAATAATAACATTATGAAAACTGCATTTTACTTAAGTTCATATAAGAGTCGATCACCTCTAACTTCTACTCCTCCGTCGCCTTCTCTGGCATCCATCTGATACAGTTGATGTGGATGGAGAAAATCAGTTGCAAACGGGGTAAAGCGCACGTTATGCTCCACGGCTGCATGTGCGGCACGTAAAAGGTCTGTGTACAGACGCTGGCGCCTCAGTTCCAGCTCGTCGCGGCCAACAGGCGTAACAGGTGGCTCAATGCAACCGCTTTAATTTTTTGTTTTCAAATCGTGAATTATTGAATTTTAACGGTTGTTTTTGTTTTTAATAGATGGTTGATGCATTTTAAATTCGTGTTAGCGAAACGTTGCGTTTGTCGGTGATTTTTCATAAATTCATAAATAAGTAGATACATGTTAAAAGCGGATACTTTTAAAATTTGTATGTGCATACAACATTATAAAGGAAACAGAACTACAGCACAAAATAAAATAAGAAATATAACGAATAACGAGAAAGGAATTATGGTTTTTAAAACAAAGCAGCAGGACTTATTATTTTTTCTAAGAATTAATTGCAAAGCATGGACCGTGACTTTCTTACACGGGTGCGGACCGGAAAATCAGCAACATTCTCCACCCTAAGAAGCCTAACTTCATTACTTTTTAATTTAAAGTTAAATAATCGAATACAGTATTGGTCATATGGTTGGTTAAAAATCGATTTTTTGATCCGTATCACACTGCTCTGAAGAGCTAAAAAAACTGGTCAAAAATAAAAAATTCGATTTTTTAAATTTGAAATACGGTATTTTGTATGGTACGTACTCATGTAGAGAACGCCGAAAATGTAGCGCGTTGTCATGCCGATTTAGCTTTAGCTTTTTACATTGCCCTGTGTGATTGCCGAAAACATGACAATTTAACCTCATTTAAAAGCGCGACCCAGTTTTGAAAGGAACCGGTTGTAAACTGTATTAACCGTTTTTTCTACTAATTAACTGAACCATTACCGAACCGAAATTTTCTACAAATGTTTGATCCCACACGTTTGCTTAAAAGTGGGCGGTGTCACGCCCCTTTAAAAAACATTGATAAGGCATATTCATCGTTCTAGTTTAGAACTTTTTCTAATTTACTCATTGTTAATTCAATAGTTCTAAACTGTTCTTGATGTAAAAATGATAACATACGGTGTTGCCAATATTAATGAAAATGAATTCGTAATTGGAAATTTGAACGTTAAGTGTTTTACACATACGTATATATTTTTTCTATGCGGATTTTTTCGTTCAATTCATTTTTAATAAATTTAACAATTTTTAGAAACAAAGCTCATAATTCAAGTGCCTTGTGAAGCGAAAAAACTAGAAATTAAATTAAAATCAAGTGTGGCAATTCTGGCAAAAACGTTCGGAAATAATATTGAAGTTGAGTTAAGAACTCAAAAAAGTTCAGAACTTTTCTCAGTTGGTCTCCTAATCCGAATTAGGAGAGCAACACAACAACAACCACATAGAAGAAAAGTTCTGAACTAGAACGAATACTTCCAGAGATATGCAGTTTGTAAAACGCCCCCTTTATATACATATCTAAATATTTTTCAGCCTACAATCATCCTTGGAAAGTCTGCAGTAGGTGCCCAAAATTTCCAGATTTTTTAGCTCTTCCTATCAGAGTGCGTAAGTCTGTTTATCTTTCATTGGTTTTTCAAAATATGTAGATACTATATGTATAGTAATACTTCTTTTTTCGATTATATGTAAATGAAAAGAACAGATTTCCAACCAAATATTGAATCTCCTCCATTTTCTTTTGAAAGAAAAGCTAAACATTCTTAATGAAGTGAGTGAGCGATAACTGCCCCACCAAACAATTTGTGTTGCCGGCAATAAGAAAACGTGTCGCCCTCGGAAACAAATTTATAGCCGGTAATATTGCCATCGAATCGATTTCCTATTACCGGTCGCTCTAAAACGTCCGCCGAAGGCAACTCGCCTGGGCGAGTCGTTTTCTTATTGCCCGAATGAGTCTTTTTCTTATCNTGTCCTTATTAAATTATCAAAATAAAAATACATACATAAGCATATCGGTCTAAAGTAAGAATGATTTCAGTTTTAACTGTCAATACATTATATTTAGAAACAAACGCTTACTATCATTGCCGAAATTTCGGTTTTTCATCACAAAAAGAATTTGTATCGCAAATTATTAATTATTTGACTGTAACTTATGTACATGGAAGACTTACACAACAGTATGTATCTTGGCAGGGGTTAATGAGGTGACATTTTTCAATTGTGAACCTAAACTTGCTGCTGAGTTTCTATAACGCAAATCGTCCTGGTCCTCTTATGTACTTCGAACTATATTTTTTTAAATATTATGGTATTGCGTGTGTCCGTGGTACTTTTCCTTACTTCATATGCATAAACAAATACTTAATAAGACAAAAAAAAGGAAATAAAACTTTATAAAGATTCAGGCCAAAAACAAAACAAGACATTTTGGGGAATATATACATATGTAGAGGAACTTTAAATTACATGTCATTAATTCTTTCATCGTTGAACCATTCGGGCAGCCCATGGGCATATGCCGCCGTCTCTGGAACTTCACTGGGCTCGATATAGGGTGCGCACATACTTTCACGTTTTGGCGGGGGCAGTGAATCGGAGAAGACATCATCGTCGTCAACAGCCAATGCAATGGGATCGTATGGAGGCGGAGGCAGGGGATCTGGTTCGATTATTTCAGTATGTGAGCTGATATTCACCTTCTTTTTTATCGATGTATGCGTGGAATTGTGACGCGACAGGCAACTTTTAACTGGTGTGGTGCCTGCAATAGCCTCGGCTTGGCCATTCAAACCAGTAGTAACTTCATTCTCCGGTGCTTCATGATTCGCCAAAGTCGCAGTTACTGCAGAGTTCGCAGTGGCTACTGTTGAAGTTTCATCGGAATTTATTTTATCTTGTGTTGTATTGGAACTTTTATCGATGCTAACGCTCGTCGGTGAGGACTTCTTCTGTTCATCACTTTGGGCCCTATCCGCTGTGAAGGCAATATGTACAATAGCATGGCGGCAATTAGAAATGAAAAGGTTTATACCATCATTATACAAGGACAATTGAAAACATTCCAATTACATATTTTCAATGCTATGGAAAGTAAAATGATGAAAGTGTGATGATGCGTTTGTTTATAATTTCCAAAATATATGTAAATTCTGTAAAAATTTAACCGGTATTGAGAAGCAATGGAAGTCGATCTTCACTCAAGAACGAGAGCACATACATAAGTGGTATGAAACATTTCGAGAGCCGTGAGGTAATTAAAAGTGGTGAACAGTGTTGCCAGAACTTTTTGGGCCGACCGGCTAGATTGGCAAAAAAAAGCGGCTAAAAACGGCTAAAATGTTTTAGTGAAAATTCACATGCTTTATTTAAATAAATCGCAAGAAACGAAAGACTAGTTAACACCATTAATTTATATCGAGTGTATATTCCTCATCATCAAATGAATCACTATTGTATATATCACCTGAATTCATTAATTTTAAGAGATCGTCATCTACAGTAAAATTATGGCAGCATTTTTCTTCACGTTTTAAACCGTATCTTATATATAAAATAGCGTTTAACGTTTTAACGCACATTGGATTTCTTTGCTTAGTTTTTATTATATTCATTGAACTAAATATTCGCTCTACTTCTGCATTACTTATAGGCAAAACAAGAAAACTAAAAACTAGGTTGGAAAGGTCAGCAAAAGGGTTTTCTCCTAGGGCATTTCGAAATTGATAAACTTCGGCCCAAAATTTTACAGTTGAGTCTAAATTACTCCAGGTATGTAACGTTAACCGTTGCCATTGCATCTCTATGGATGTTATTTCGTCGGCATTATATTTGTGTTTTTGTTGCTGTAGTTGAACAAATACTTTTGGTTTAATTACTCTTAATGCATTTCCAACCGAAAAAAGTCAATTTTTTTTAGTGTGGCAATATTTGTAGGGAGGCGTTGGCGTAATTCCTTTATTAAAGTGATAATAAAATAGCGACCATTTTCTCGAATTATTTTCTCGGCTTCGTGGTCAAAAGCGTTTGTGCTTACTTTTGTTTTTAAATACTCTTCAAAACTGTGATAAAACTGAGGAAATGGAGCAAGGTATGGTTCCAACGGGGAGCATATAGGATCAAAGGTGTCCGCGCTAATAACCACTAGGGAGCATAGATGCGAAAGTAAAACAGTGAGTTCATTAAAAATCTTCACTGGGTCACGGCTAAAATGGCAACGCTGGTGGTGAATGAAGTACCACAAAGCTGCTGTCAAATTATTTTAACACGTACTCTTATGTAGCTGTAGCTAGATTAGATCTATTTCTATTTTTCAAGCGACAGGTAGATATATATAGATTCATTTATGTCAAACTCAAACAAATTCATGTCGCCGTCAACAAGGCGTTTAGATTATGTACATAGATAAAACCTTAATGTCGTGACGTGAGGCGATGTCGTCTTCGAGTGTTCACAGCTTTAGAGTTAGGACTGAACACATATGTACTGCTAGAATACTCCGACAAACATTTGGGCATTATGCTTGATAACTCTTACTAATACGTATGGGTATGTAGAAGAATTTCTCTTCAAACGTGGCTTCAAAATGCAAATTTATATAGTTGAGTGGAACTGCATCTGACCATGAATACATGAATTTCAATGCAGCCGTCCCCATAGCCAACATTTGGCAACGCTAACGCCACACAAAGTAGAAAGATGGCCAACTCTCAAGTTTTCGCGTGCATCGTTTGTCAAAATTATGTGAAAAAGGTGCCTTTTTATCGTTTTTAATGTAATTGTTGATACACAATTTTTATTTATCTGCCGCTAGTATGTTAATTCAGTGACCATAGTATTCGCTGCTAAGTGTTCATTGTAGCAATCACTAGCGTTACTCGCGCTGCTGTCAAAGCGACGCCAACGTCAACGCAACTCCAAAGTTGTATGTGGATGGGCCTTAATTGATATTTATCCAGCCATAATTCATGGTCGAAATTCATATAAATAACACTTTAAATGTTGATTTGACTTTCAGCGGCTACAGCAGAGAATATTTGATGGAACTCTACATCCATAAATTACTAAGGTGTGCGTTTTATGACTCAATGACGAGCGAAATTTGGACAATTTAAAAACTACTCCCAGCTCAGTCCTACCTTTTTAGTTTTTCCCAGAAAATGGTTTGAGCTCTCGGTATGTTAAATGCTTGAAGCAACTTTTAGCAAGTTTTGGTCAGAGTATAAATAATATATGTGGATAATAAGTAAAAGTGTTTCAATAAAAATCGTCTTTTGTGTAAAAGTATAAAAATTGCTATACTATTTTAACACTTAACTAACTAGCCCCAGGGCTAAATTTGAATGCTGTATTCAGAAAAAGTAGCAGAATCGAAAAAATATTCATATTGGAAAAATTTTATTTTTTAATATTATTAAGTAATAATAAATTTCCCAATAAACAATCGACAATTTAACTGACTTCTCCTTGTTTTAAACAAAAATAAATTTACGATCTTATTCTATAAAGTATACACTAACCATTCGTGCAAAAATATTTTAGTGCACTCTATCCCATAAAAAAGTACGAATGTTAAAACATTACCGTGGATACGCGAAACCGGCGTTGGAACGCAGCGCCGATAAACCTGGGTCCGTTCGTTGTTGCATGATTATCTTTTTATCAACACAAGTATCTTATGAATGATTGGTACTTTATGAATGGAACATTTTTTAATTAAGAACTTTTCCCAATTTTGTTATTTAACTACAACGTTGATTTTTTGCTTATATTTTTACAATTACATATTCTGAGTGGCTTGAAAAAATCTTACATTCTAAGCAATTTGAAGCAGAGGGTTTGTAGCAATGAAACTGGCGTGTTCCCTTGATGGTTTTGGCTGTAGGAAACGTTTCTCCAACACCTCATGTTTTCTATATTCAGCTAAAGTACAAAAATCAAAATCAGTCGAACAATTTTTGTTTCGAAAGAATGGTTTTATCCTGTAGACTAGCGCAGTATGCATTTTTTTTAACGCAGCCACCAATGCCATCGCAAGCTCCTTTTCCGTGGGCAGTGACACTGATATACGCGATTCTCATTTGTTTAACGGGCGCGTCGTCTGTACTAGAGGTGTACAATATCAGAAATGCAGTAGTGAATCAAGTTCACTTGACAGTAAAAAAAGTGAAATCAATGCTTGCTCGCCATCAAAACTGCTAACTATAACTCCTGCAATGACAGTATTTGTTTGCTTACTGCAAATATTGATTTATACTGAAGAGAGCAAAGTAACGGAGCAGTACAGCGAGTGCAGTAAAACAGTTGGGTGTGAAGTGAATGGCAGCAGTGTTTTCCATGTTAGTCATTTTGTGCTAGTACCCCGTAATACTAGTATCAAGTTGATACAATCAACTATTATTTTATAAACAGCATTTCAAATCATTTATGCACACCTCTAGTTTGTACTCAAGATTCTCAGAATTTAGGAGCCTCATGATTTCGAAAATAAATTTAGGCACTGAGATTTCAATAACTATTAATATAAAGAATTAATCGTAAGAATTATTAACATATCGTTACCTTAATATAGAAAGGCCCTAACTCATATAAACGCTGAAACGCAAAAAAAGCCATTACTGACTCAAATTTTTTATTGCTTAAAATGATGTGGGGATTTATAATGCAATGAAATGTATCACAAACAATCAAAATGGAAATTTTGGATTTTTACTTAGTTACGGCTTTTTGTATTTCAGCGACAATATCAGTTAGGGCCTTTCTATATTAAGATAACGATATGTAATAATAATATAGCTATATGCTTTTTAAAACGCAAGTATGCAACGACGAACGGGCTCAGGTATATCGGCGCTGCGTTCCAACGTCGGTAGTGGTTTCGCGTATCCACGATAATGTTTAAACATTCGTACTTTTTTATGGGATAGAGTGCACTCAAATATTGTTGCACGTATTTTTAGTGTATACTTTATAGAATAAGATCGTAAATTTTTTTTTGTTGAACACAAGGAGAAGTCATTTAAATTGTCAATTGTTTATTGGGAAATTTATTATTATTTAATAATATTAAAAAATAAAATTTTTCCAATATGAATATTTTTTTCGTTTCTGCTACTTTTTCTGAATACACCATTAAAATTTGTTTATTTTTCATTGAATATTTACGGAAATATAGCAATTAATATATAAAATTAATGAAAAGAAGGTCAAAAATTCATTTATGAATAAATTTGTGAAAAATTGAAATTTTCAAAGAATATTTGAAGATATTGATTTTCACATATAGACCTTTGAATATCTGCCAAAATATATTTGAAATTCTACTACTTAATTTTTAGTGGCCCGTTTCAGAAATTTTGACTCTCCTGCGAACAGAGTCTAAATAAGGAGGTCGTTAGCCCGTCCATCTCAGCTTGCAAACGACTATTAATAGATCTTTGACGTTTTATTGCCATGTTTCGATTATTTTTTTGACAGGAGATACACATGCATTATTCGTAGCGAAAAACAAACATTTCAACAGTTATTTCCTGACGCTATTCGGACATGACTATGTATTAAAAGTAATATAGCCTCTTTCGAATGCTGGTAAATTTCAAATACAACAAAAAATTAACTGAAAAAATTGAAAAAAAACAGCACAAATACCAATTGCTTCCGCTAAATGAGAATCGGCTGTAATATCCGTCGCTGCACTTTTTGTCGCCTCCTCGGCTTCCGCTACTTCACTGTGTAATATTGAATTCGTATTATTCGCAACATTTTCAGCTTTATTTCCGTTTTGTGGTGGAGATGAATCTGTTTCTTCATCGTTGGAATCACTCGTTTTGCCGGTTTCAATTTTTATCGTTGGTATAATTCGTTTTCGGTCATTCGTTACTTCATCTTTTGTTTCTTGCACATCACTCTTCTTATTATTTTTGTCTTTTTTAGTTTTAGCGCGGCAGCAAGAAAACATTTCGTTCACTTTTTTTGTATATATTTATAAATCTATCGGATTTTGGTGGGTGCTTTAGATTCACGTTCACTTTACTTGTGCGTAACGAAGAAGATATTAAAATTTTGGCATTTGAAGTTTCTATTCGTTTTTCTAAACAAAATTGACTGCGGGAACCTTAACGCACCTGTAAAGAATTTGTCGTCATCAAACAATCATGGATTGCTGTGTAGCGATTGGATTGTGACCTTGGATGGCTAACAGGTGTGCCTCGATGCACGCACTTGATTATTTTTACAATAATTAAATTTGTTCAT